TCCCGAGTCCCCTGCTCCGCCATGGCCTCCCGAGTCCCCGGATCCGCCATGGCACCCCTAACGGGTACCGCTCTGGAGGCCCACTGTCCCGTGTCTGTCCTGAGGGACCTCCAGAGTGCCCACCCCAACTCCCCATTGGATGTTATAAGGTGTGAGGAGACGCCTTCCGGAGGGGGGCGTTATGTCAGACTCTGTTCCATGTTTTGTGTGTGTCCTGCTCCCCATGTGCCTTCCCATGCCCTTATTTGGTTAGTTTCCTGTTCCTGTCCTGATTAGTTTTTTGTGTGTGTGTGTGTGTGTGTGTGTGTGTGTGTGTGTGTGTGTAAAATGTTCCCAGTCCCAAGTTCTCTGTCCGCTGTTGTACGTCTTCGTGTGAACGTCTTCCTGGGTTCGTCTCCCTTGGTTCCTGTAAATAAAGTCTTGTCAACATATTCTCCAGCGTCTCCTCGTCCCTCGTGTGTGTGCAACGTGACAACTTGAGAGTAGCTGTATATTTTAGTCATTTAATAAAGGGTTCTGACATATCACATTGTTGCATTTTATTTAGCAGTAACAGATTTACTAATGATGCACTCTATAGTTTAAAATGTCCTACAGAGACTTTGGTACTGTGCAACTCAGTCATGTTATGTTGTAAATATAATTAATAATGTATCTGGCTAAACAGATTTAGTACTGATAACATATGAATTATGTACTTCAAAAGGGATTCAGCAATCTCAGAAGGTGTAAAAGTAAAATACAAGTAACAGTGTTCAGCAAGTTTTAGCACACTTTTTCTGGTATTTCTTGAGAGTGACCACGAGTAGGATATTACTTATGTACATGGTCTGGTTTGGGATCAGATCCCTTCTAATGCAGTGCTCCATTACAGTGCCAGTGTTCATGTCAGCACTGCACAGTTGGCACGCATCAGAAAAAAACAGGCAAATGCTCGATAATCTGGGCGTGATTCTTTGCAGCCTAAATTTTAGCAGTGTAATGCATAAGTAACATCACAAAGATTGATTTTGAACTAGAAGTCTTGTGGTTACACTCACAGCATAGACAGTTTCATTCATCTCTTTTTAAAGAACTTTATCCACACTGCTTATTTAAATATGAATTTCAGATGTTTGTTGTTTACATCTTAAACCTTGAAAGATATACTGTGTAATTTTAAAGTAATGACTGTTTTCGAACAGGTTTCCTGAACCGTCTCATAGTCCCTCACCATACTCACAGCACTGGCTGATCCACAGTTGCTTCAGACTGCTCAAATTAGCCCAAAAACATCCAAGTGCCACAGAGCCAGATTATTTTACAGGGAAATACAAGTGTACAACTGGTTTACTTATAGTTGACATGTCTATAAGAGGAATCATTTTAAAATCGAATAAAAGTGACATACTTAACTTAATATGCAGGATTGTGTCCACTGTTTTCATCCTGAAAGTTTGCTTGGTAAGTCACTGCCCTGTCTGCCCTCTTCCCCTGCAGCTGAAGCAGGAGGCCCAGCCGTTGCACCTGGCCTATCACGCAGCCCACCATGTGAATCGCTGCCGCCTCCTAGAGGACAAGAACAGAGCTCTTAAACAAGAGCTAGCCGCTCTTAAACAGCAGAAACAGCAGCACCGATCCCTGGTAAGTCAGTTTGTGGTTTGATTTAGTTGCTTATTTGTTCAGTTTTTGGCAATAATCATACTTCTGGATTTCAGCATGTTGTCTGAAACTCCCTGGTGAGAAGCTTAATGAGTGACAGCAACAGTTGTTTTCTATAAGCTAAAATGCACAAGAAGTCCCTGAATCATCTACTGTGTTCCAAGTGGTGTGATGCTGGAGCTGTTGCCCTGGCAACAAGCCCACTAGTGAGGGAGGACAGGTTGGTAATGGAAAACTGACAGACCATAATAATGGCTTTTGTTATAAGCTTCAGTTGCTACAGATCAATTTCATCCCACTGAATGGAAGTGACATGCACAAATTTAACTGAGCTTGAGCACCGCTGAGAAAGTTTGCTGTACTTTAGAACATACTTTAGAACTGTACCGGAAAAGAAGCAATTGCAATGAAGCAAAAGTTTTTTTTAAGGAGATGGGGAAAGGGATGAAAATCGTGGTGGCAAACATCCAATGTGGCTCTTACACTTACTCACCCTTGTATTGTTCCAAACCTGTATGACTATCCTTTGCAACTCTGAAGGAGACTTAATCTTCCCCTTCAGGGGCTGTTGACCGTTGCAACTGGATTTTTCAGTCAGTGAATATCAAAATTATTTATTCAAATCATTCAGAGCAGTTTTGTGAACTTTTCATTGAAAAGATCGGACTCTTGATTTGTTCATGAACCATGCATCACTATGTCTCAGAAGAACTCTCCAAGGAGAGGATGTCAAGAGTGGATGTCAAGATTTTCTGTTATAAACAGCTTACACTGCCGTTCACACGTTTGGGCTCAGTAATATTCAGCATATATATATACAGTGTGTGTATATATACTGTATATAAGACAGTTTTATTAAATTGATCAAAAGTGGCAGTAAAGACATCTATAATGTTACAAAAGATTTCTATATTAAATAAATAATAAATGCTATTCTTTTAAATTTCTGTTTATCAAAGAATCCTGAAAAAGAAGCATGGTTTCCACAAAAATATTAAGCAGCACAACTGTTTTCAACATTGATAATAATAATAAAATGCTCTTGAGCAGCAAATCAGCATATTAGAATGATTTCTGAAGAATTGTGTGACACTGAAGACTGGAGTAATGGCTGCTGAAAATTTAGCTTATTTCCCATCACAGGAATAAATTACATTTTTTAATATTTTCAAATAGAAATGTCTACTTTAAATTTAATTACTTAAATTTCAGATGTCTTCAAAAACATTACAAAATCTTACCGACCCCCTACTTTTGAACAGTAGAGTAAAGGTTTGTGCTTTTCACACAGAATTATATCTTATGGCTTTAGGAGTCTAAAAAGCAGACAAATTGGATGATATTATGCTGTTATGTTACCCACACCAGAATTAATTCACAGGTAACAGTGCTCTAAATGCAACCGCACCACAGTAAGTAATTAAGTAATACTATCAACTATTTACTTAATGAATTGTATTATAAGTGGGCAGGGGCAACTATGTCTGTAATATACTCGTAATATAAAATTTTCAGATATTGAGGGTTTGTGTGTTGCTTTGAGAGTGTGTTCATTTAAACAAACTTTCTTATTAAACTTACAACACTCTCAGATTTTCTGTGCTTTTTTTTTTATTGAAAACCTGTCTGAAGTCCTTTAATTGAAAGAGAGAGAAGGGAACATCAAGTCTGCCAAGGCTGGCATTGGTTCAGATTCAAAATGATCACACCTCTTAATTTATTAGCTTCAGTTGTGATAGTGGTGAACCAGACGAATATGCTGTGACAGTTGTTGCAGTGTGAGTCCTATGGCTGGTTGCCAGGCGACCGTCTCTGACGGACAGTGCGGAGAGTGAACCTGTGGTGAGGAATGACCTTCTGTCTCTAGAGGAAGTGTCTCTCACCTGCTGCTGCTTAGGAACCGCCCACCTCATCTCTATGGCACTGCCTGTCCTGCGGAGAAAGGCTGTAGTATAATTAGTTTCATGAATAACAGTCATGACTATAGTAATAGTAATAACAGTCCGGAGAGAGGCACATCTACTTAAGTAGCTGAGCCAAAGTATATTTCAGTAGAGAATTTAGATGAATGAAAGGACTCGGAGTACACAGTGTTTTTCTGTAAGGATGTTGCCAGTCAAGAGAAGAGAGGGTTGGGCCCTGGCTTGGGTTGCCATGTCCCCAAAAAGAATTAGACTCAGACAGTGATCTCTTAGCTGGGTCATGCTGCTTGCTTAACTGTATTTTCCTCTCCATTGCATCGACCGCTGCAGTCATTTGGACCAGGAGGTCCATTCCATTCCAGATCCTTGTCTCATAAGTTAGACCAGGACAGGAAGCATCAGCTCCAGCTGAATATGTGCCCACTCAGTGCTTGTCGTTAATTGCAATCTTGTGTTGAAATGTGAACGTGATATAACTTAAAGTGAACGTTTCAGAATGTAGGCTGATATTTGCTTGAGTGTCGTTTGAAATAAAGACAACTGTACTTAAAAGATGGGATTTTAAGATACACAATATTAAAATTTGGCTGATACAGACATGCAGATAAAAATTATTCTTGTAATAAATAAATTAAAACTGAAGTCAGTTGTTTGTGATGTTAGTGAATTTAGGTATTAAGTCATTAAAATGGATAATCATATTGAAATACGCAAAATATTACCTTTAATATTAAATTCTTAATGTTTTTAAATATGACTAAGTGCTAGTATTAGATGACTGATTATGTAAAAATAGGGTTAATGCACAATTAAATATGCATATAAACCAATGCTGATCAATTGAAACATCTCTAGTAACTGATGGTACCAATATCATGTGCATTCCTAGTTAGATTTTAAATATTTGAAAAACATTTGACTAAAGTTCCTTCTTTATATTACAGTTTTGCTGATCACTTGCCTAATTTCCTAAAACCCACAGCATTATGTGGAAGTCATATTTTATGAGCATGATTGGCCATGGGGAATAACATTGTGACCTCAGTTCTCTGAAAGCAATTTTCACAATTGATTTCTGCATGCCAGTTGCCAAAACAGAATGAATCACTGCCTGTAAACTAAAACCTGGGATTAATATTTATTCCTCTGCTGCTTGTAAATTCCCATTTTTAGAGTCGTGCCTTTGTGACTCTGTATGGAAGGGAGTGGAAAAACAACAAAACACATTCAGGGAAGATATTCGGTTTAGTTTCTGGAGCGAATATCCCTTCTCTCCCTTCTGCTGTTCCTCTAATTGAAGCATCCCATAGAGATACTTACAGTCAAGGGTTTAAAACTAATCAGGTCTCTACTACATTCATATTAACATCAAGTGAGTAAGGGTATTTTATTTTCTCTGTTCAGTTCAGATATTTGAGTTGAGTGTACATGGTTATTTTATGTAAAGAAAACTAATTTCCAATATGAGCAACCACAATTAATTAGTGAGCCAATTTTTTTGCAGCGTACTTGATGTGTCTTCCTTATGTCTGTCTACAGTTATCCTTTGCAGAGAAGCTTCTATCAAGAACATACTGTAGAAGTAATTGTAAATATTAACTTTGTAAATAGTAACTTTCCCAACTCTCCCAGACCTCTCTGGAGAGTGACTCCTACACTGATAACCTCTCCATGCTTTGAAATACTTGCTTTTCTTTTTTTAAAAAGGATTGAAGACTGCAGATGATTTCTAGACACCATTACTCTTATATCCATTTTTACCAATATGGACAGTGACCACTAAAGCTGTACGGTGACCACTGACTAGAGTTGCCAAGTTTGCTTATAATACGCGACGTTGGGCTAATTTTTTGGTTATGTTGCGTGAAAAAATCCCGGGTTGCGGTTTTTTGGGCTTATTTAAAAAAATATATGGTTGCTTGTTAGGAAAATCTGACAAGCAACTTTGTTTCTTTACATTTTGGTTCACCATATTCTCCAATGCATTGATTGGCACTCTGTCTGCTCACAGTAGCCAATTAATGCAATAATATAAGTGTCATTATCTGTAGCGTAATTCGGCAAACATTCTGCCCCTCCTCCCCCTCATTGGAGAAAAATAAGGTTAATTTTTACAATTAAGTTAGTTTTTGTAATGTATTAATTATCACAGGCTATAATAATAAAAAAAAACAAGTAGGCCTAAACTAATACTAACTGTATATACATTTGGTTCGAATATGCAGGCTACAAATATGTGGCTATGTTACAGCTCCCCCTTAAAGCTCTTGTCTTCATCTCCTTTTCCATCTCTCCAATCCTGTTCTGCTCACAAGTGATTGGAGATGAGTGGATAGTGAGTGCCTCCTGCTTATTTGCAGTTTGCTGATTTTTGTAAAATAACTTCTGTTTTTGTTTTTCAAATAAAAGAGTGGTTTCAGTTTAATATGTTGCAGGCTAATTTATTGGTAATAAATAATTGCTAATAAATAATATTGATGATAAATAATCAAATTATATTGGGCTTGTTTTTGAAGCTGCGGTTGCTTATTTGTCTCACAAGAGTTGGCAACAGTAACGGTGCCCCAGTGTAGTGAAAGATTTTTTGCTTCATGAATTGAGATAATTTCATAAAAATTTCATACTATCAGTAAAACGGCATTTTTTGGATTATTCCTTTTTTTGGTATTATTTAGTTGTTTTTTCCCTTGCCCATTAATGACAGAGAGCAGAAGTCTTTATGTCACTTGCACATGACATAGTGTTAAGTTTTAACCTGTGCATATATTTTATTATTTAGTGTGCTTGTCTTCACTGTTTCTGTAATGTATATGCACTCTCTTTAACTGGAAGTCTGTGGAATCCCACAATTTTATCAGCGCTTTAAAAGCTTTGTGGTATGATGCTTCGTATCCATTACACTAGCAGCACTTATTTCAATGCGGTGTGTAGACATCCCTCTTAGAGCTAGCCGAAAGCCACATCCTGCATCATTTTATACCTAGTCATGTTTGCAAGCAGAGGTATCAGTCTGACTGCAGGGTTTCTCAGATGTGGGACTCCCTTAAAGCAATGCTGATT